GATCTTGAGTGTTGAGCGAAGACAACTGTTAATGAAGGTCTGTAGTTTGTTTGAGATGCTCTTTATGATGCTGAGTGCTGGTGGCCTCCACACAGACTTGAGAATAGTGAAAGCTTGTCTTGCTTTTCCGATTCTTGCTTTGATATCCTCGTCAGCTCCGTCCGCCTGTAGTTGAAACGATGCTTCCCAGGTGGCAGAAGGAGGTTGTTCCTTTCAGGTTCCTCCCATTTATGCTGATTGTTGTCTGTTGTTGTTCTTGTCCAGGAATCTTCATTATCTCAGATAAATATATGAAGTACCAAATTAACATCGTGTGAATGCATGGGTGGGTTAGTGTGTAAGAGGGACAAGAGACAAAACTAAGCAGTAGAATTGACTGGTATTATGCTGAGCATAACAACAGACCATTTGACACTTAATTGATTGCATATGACTCACATTTGTTTTTTTAAATAAAAGCATTAGGCCGTAAGTTAACTATATTAAACTTGGAATGAAAAGGTATAAAAAAACAGGCAATATGCTAGATCGGTCAGTTGAAAACTAAAAGTCGTATGTAATAAGATCCAAAAGAGAAATCAGTGTTTTTGAGGGGAAGTTATCTAGATCCAGGTTTCATGGTATACTGACCCATCCACCGCAGAGGTTTGAAGCCAGGACCTACTGGTTACAGGGCTAGCTAGTTTGCATACAATTCAGTGGCCACTCGGACCCAAACCAATCGCCAGTCCACGCATTCAAATTCCTGCCAACACATGGCATAGCGCCGCCACTTCGCAATGTCTTCTTCGATGGGTTACTGCCTCACTTTAAACCTTCTGTACCCTGCTGGTTACGGCCTACCACTAGAACCCCCGGTTATCTGCCTGAATAGGGCCAGTCGCTAGTGAGCACTGCTTCTCAGTGGCTTAATGGTCTACGAGCTCGCTAACCTTGTAACCAGAAGGTGCTGGGCTCGAACCCAGGTTGGTGCATTCTGATGAAGGGTCCTAAACTAGGCTGACGAAACGGCTGTCCAGTACTCCCAATTGGTTTTCAAAAAGTTCTCTGACTGATGTCAGCTCATGACGAAACCCTCCAACCAATCAAACACAGTTCCTACAAAACCAATACTTGAATATTAAAATATGACTCCAAAAGCTTCACTTGATCACCAGAAGTTTTGGTATTCGATAGTTGGAGGCAGTTGGCAGGAAGCCCTGCCGGGACCTAGGTTTCGTACTAGTTAGCACTCACAAGTCAGTAAGGCGTATCTGCAACCTTGAAGGAACTCATGTCCTTTTTGAGATTCGAAGCTGAGTCACCCAGTACCGCCTCCAGCTTGAGACGTCACTACTGAGCAGCTGTAGGACTGTATTGGATATATCAGTCAAGTTTGTATTGTGGTGAGTAAACTAGGTGGCTCGCTAGAATTTTATCAACACTAATAGACTAAGGCATTAAGAAGACAAATTTCGCGAGATGATGACATCATTTCGTAGTTTCTTTACAACCGCTTTACAACTAACATGGTTAACAACAATAAAATAAAGTTCATGACAATTACTCAGTTAAATAAAAAACAAAAGTACATACTAATGACCAATCATATTTAGATAGGTCATGTTGTCCATGGTAGGCGAAGATTGAAGTCTATTGTTTTTTATACACACAGTTTAGGCTGTATGTAATTAATCCAAAGTGCTTCCATCACCTTCATTAGCCAACCTTGAATTCGAGTTATGTGAAATAATTGTGAAACAGTCATTAATACTGATTTTGTGACCTGACATTAATAAGTGTTTTGCAATGGATGATGCTGGATTTCTATTCAGATTAATCGCGTTGGGATTTTCTATATGATTTAGTAGCCATCTTGAAACATGTTCTTTTCGACAACCACATTGGAATATTCTGTTGGTTCTACCTATATAGGTGTCACCGCAGCTGCAGGTGAACTTGTAGATACAGTTTGAAGTAGAGTCCACAGAATTTCGTCCTTTAATCGTAGGTTGGTACAGGGATCGAAAATGTTCGGCAAATGAGAAAAAGAGATGTGGCGGCGTAGAATGTGCTTTTGATGGCTGACCAAAGTCCTTGAGCTAGCTGTCAACTGCATAATCTGGTCACCCTTGAATGGCGGTAGGTTAATAAAGATAGCTTTCTTTTGGTACAGAGGCTGTCTTTTCGAGATGTGGCTTTTCTTCACTGTGCCTTTTCACTGGAGAATTGATCCGTATGTAGTACGGTAAAGCCTTGTAGGGATTCCACTTATGATCTACACAGCCCGATGACTTGGGCACTGATTCGAATAGATTTAAATCTTCAAGGGCAGGTTAAAGTGTATTCTATTTAGCCAAAAGTAGAGCTTACTATCGATCGAATGTTATTATCGAACATCATTGAATATCATATTAGTTAGTTAGTTGCGTATCACGTTATGTTTAATAAACACACTAACTACATTTGAATAAATTCATTAGAAAAAATAATTTAAAACCCTAAATTTCTGTGCTTTTTCGGTTGGCATAAACATTAACTGATGTCATAAGTTTAACATCAATTGCGAAACATATTGGCGATTTTCTCGTGACAAAATAGAATTGAATGAAATTTAAAGCACCGCTACCTCAATTAGGTAAAGAGAGTTAAAATGACAGAACGTGACCAAAAGGCTTGTGGCAGTCATTTTAAAATAGTCCTATGACTCAACTAAACACCCACTCTAAGACGCTGAATCCAGTTAACAAAAGAAACCGGGTTTATTAGGAAAATTTAACTAAATAATAATCACGAGAAAATTATAAGTGTATTTCCTAAGGGGAAACACTAACAATATTGCTATCACCTTTAAAATCCCCTGCATTCATGAATAACTAGCGATATATTGCTGATCACCTTACAGTAGGTGGATTTGCCTGCATCAATTGGTTAGTCTGATAATAAAGCTAAAGTGTGAATCATTAGACTGTGCAATAGTTGGCTAAAATTAGGGAGGTTAAATGATTTATTCAACTGTCTGAGCTGAATGAGTCAAATCAAGCACACTGCTGATGAGCTGAGCAGCACACACAAGTAAGATGGCCGTCTGTTCCTTGCATCGCTTCAGCCGTGCTAGTGAATAGCACTGGCTGATGTGAGTGATTTTCAACCACCTACACCAGTTAATCAGTAGTGTACAGAGTCTTTTACCTGTCTTGGAAGCAACGTTTCAACTACAAGTGGAACTGACGAAGATATCAAAGTGAAGATAGGGAAAGCAAGGCATGCTTCCATTATTCTCAAGTCTATGTATGGAGGTCAGCAGCACGCTCAGCATGAAAAATAAGATCCGGATTTTCAGCTACAATGTGAAGTCAGTCAGTGCTACTATATGGATCAAAGACTTGGTGTTGCGTCACGAAGGGCATTTCGAACAAACTACAGACCTACATCAACAGCTGTCTTCGCCCAATACTACTCAAGATCAGATGGCCAGCCAGAAAAGATCAGCAAAAGGGATCTCTGGGAACAAACGAATCAACTCAGCAGGCACCAATTGTGCAACACATATGCAGGAAGAAATGGAGGTGGATTGGTCATACTCTGGGAAAACAAACCATCAAGTGACATCACACGCCGAAAACTCTCTCTCGAGTGGAACGCAAATGGGAAGGGGTGAGTTGGTCGTCAGTGTGACGGGTGACATGGAGGAGGTCATGTGAAAAGGAGATGAAGGTATGTGGGCAGACGTGGAGTCATGTGAAAACGTTGGTGGATAACCGAACACAATAGAAACGTGCGGCTGAAGCCCTATGTTCCTGTAGGAATTAAAGGAAACACCAGCAGTGCAGGTGTGTCCGGCTGACAAATCCTGAATAGGACGATACTGGCACCACCATGGCTAGCCACCATCAGTCAAATAAAATTTACCACTATTATTTTTATTTCTTTTTTATTTTGATTTACAGCTTGATTCCACACCGTATTTTCAGTACAAGTGTGGAATTTTCAGCATGGATATCGGTAGCCCAAATTCAGGCCGACCATAGATATCGGGTGTGCGCCGGCATAGAAATTTTAATGGGAATTACACAAATGCTCGTCATCTATATTTATTTATATATTTTTTGATAATTTATTCCTTTACATTCTAAATAGAACATAGGACTTCAAGCTAGTGCTTTGAAGCTTCCGTAGCAGTGGTTCTATTTTTACCAGGTAGGGCTGCTAGCCTCATATGCCAAACCTTCCCTGTCTGCCGGGTTTACTACAGGGTGAGATAGGTTTTGGAGTGAGTCAGCCGAGAATCGAAACACACACCAAATGTAGCATGGTTGGCGAGAGTCTTGCCGGTAAACCTCTGAAGCTCATTTGCCGTCTTGCGCATACATATTCAAACAACTATGACATTTTCGAGAGCTGCTTTGCAGGTATTTGAATGATTTCAAGTTTGACCACAATCTGACTTCATTTAGAGAACCACTGAAAATCTGGGAGTAGTGGAAAGTTGCTCTGTCGTTGTGCGAGGCTTGCACGCATGACTCCCACCAAGGATTGAGCCCAGGACCATCAAGCTACAAGTAGACCATTCAACCACTGAGACGGAACCCATCAGCCCATCAATTCTAACTTCTGCCTCTAAATGAAGTCAGTCTGTAATCAAAAGTATTGTGAAATTACTTATGGTTTTAGAGAATAGCAAGAGAAATATGATAATAAATGAAGATATTGAGGCAACAGTAAAGGATGGATACCACTATCGAATGACCTTGAGCCGACCAATCAGACAGCTCAGCATTACAAATGGATGCTTTTCATAATCTTCGTTGCAATTTTGACTCTAACCTTAATCATAACCCTGACTTAACCCTGAATCAGGATGAAACTTGCAACGAAGATTAAGAAAAGCATCCATTTTTAATGCTGAACTACCTGATTGGTTGGTTCAAGGTCATTTGACCTCAGTGTTTATTCTTTAACTGTTGCCGGTTTCGAAAAAGGAGGAAATCACGTTTTATGCGTCATTCTTTTAATTTTAGAGTTGTCCAAATTAACAGGACTTCAACGTGCCTCAGAAAATGGTTACATAGAACTGGCTAATGCTAGTAGTTCATCTCCAGTTCCTGAAGAGGATTATACAAGTCGATTATTACGTGGAACATCAAAAACTCAACTACCTAGTCGTAGATATTTTAATATCAATGCAACATTGAACAACTCCATGACAGGATTATTAACTCCAGTCAATTGTCCCCTATCATCAACACTACCATTGTCCTATAGTGATAAAATGCTGCCAAGACAATCATCATCACTGTCACAAACTCCAGCACCATTGATGAAACAACAATCACAACCAGCACCACCTTTACCACCGAAACCAATCTCAGGTAAACCACAGACATTTGTAGATTCACAAGAACATCTCAGTGCTGAAGACGAAGAAGTCTATAAATTTATGTCACGGTCTTTTGATAACAATGAAGAGTTGGACGCAGACTTTCAGGTAAATTCATTATTTTTTTATGCGTAGTAATCATTTGTGTTTGATGGGATCGGATATATAAAATTTTAAATGATTCTGGTGTAAAGCTCTAATTTGGTGTCATTACAGAGTTGTAGTAATTTTCAAGGTTGGTTAGGAATTCTGTAGGACAATTTCTATAGTCATCCAAATGTCTAAAATATGAATTGTGATGAAGAATACTCAATTCAACTTTAGATTTTCCCGTCGATTGATCGGACCGAAGTGCTCGGTCTCAGGCTGACATGTCACGTCCTTATACAGATGCTTCAACGATGTCTGGGCATGTAATTAGAAGTTAATTGGTAGATGGTGACTAGCAGTGGAATCCAGGATAACGCGCATTTCGTCCTATTCGGGAAGCGACGGGGAAATCTAATATTGAATTAAATAATTATTATGACCCGTTGCACAAGAGGTGACTCTTCTGGCCCAAGTGGTCTAGTGGATAACACTTTGGCGTTGGAAACTATGGTCACTGGGTTTGAGCCTCGGTGGGGACATCATCACTCAGTGCGGAATGCAGGCACTACCAGATGACGAGTCCCAAATAAGACGAAATGCACGTTATCCTAGATTCCACTGCTAGTCATCATCCACCAATTAACTTCTATTGAGATGAAGAATAGTTGAAAATATCTAACATTCTCTCCGTTTATCACAAGAAAATTTCTTGAAGGAAATTATGTCACCACTGGGATTCGAACCTGCGTCACTCAGAGACGTCACCATGGAGCCAATCGAGTTTACAATTAACCTCATGTAAGACTGTAGCGGATACACTGATTTTTAACTGGAGAGTAACTAACGTCGTGAATTTACTTCCTGGTTTCGATGCAGACTGAATTCTATCAGTCGAGTTTCCAATATGGTCAGAAAGCTAAGTGGCCGACGGGGTGTCGATAGATGTGGGATCTACTCCATTAGCTGCATGATCCGGGTTTTCGACAATAATCTCAGTATTTCCATATGGTTGTGAGACTTGGCACATGCATCACCAATGTCATTTCCAAAAGACTGCTGAAGACTATCACCAACACCTGTCCCTTTTGCTGGCTCGATAAAAAGATCAAATGTCTGACCGAAAAAAAATTAGCAACAGGGGAGCGAAGAGTTAGGTGTGGGTTGGAGTGTTACGTGGACATCATCTGAATGGGTAATGAAAATTTGTGGCTTTCGTGCAGCAGCAAGATGAAAAGGATAGTACAAAACAGAGTGGAATGCAGATCAGATGCAACGAAGCCCAATGTTCCTCACCCACCTTCCGAGTGGAGAATAATAATAATAGAAACAATCCCATTAACTGCTTTATTATTATCACCACTGTTACAGATTGCAGAACTTAATGTCTGTTGCCGTGTTGAATGAATTTTCTGGAATGTTAGATCAGTGAGGTGGTTTGCACGCACGCACGCATGCACACATACAGACACATAAGAGAGTTAACATCGTCATTTTAGTCTGTGTTCAGAAAAATCGTGAAAAAGAATAAACCGGAAAATACCGGTTGGCTTTTAAGAAAAGGTCTACAACCGACTGACGCCATTGACAAGATAAATAACTTCAAACAGGGAGATAATCCATCCTTCTCTTGACATGTACAATTTATTATCTCATCTCAGCATAGAAATTAGTCGCCTCCGTAATTCGCCTACCAGGCCTTTTTAAGATTTACAGTTGGCGTTACATAGTACTTTGATCTCATCGGTAAAAGAAAGCTAAACCTGAGGTTAGTATTCGTCTAGAAATACCGATATTTTCTTCATTGATTAAGGTTGAATCTATCTCGGATTTACCACTTCGATGTTATTTAGAGGGGGTGAAGTGTATTCTCTTTGATATTTCTAGCACAATTCTGGCGACGTTTTAAAAGCCTGGGCTACAAAATACTCCATCATTGCATTGTACACAATTTCTCCTGTTTAGCTTTTGCTTAATCTATTGTAATACAACTTCCAATGATGTTTTCTACTCCCGTAAGTATTTAAAATGTCTACAACCTACTGATTCATGGAACATTCCCATTGGGATACACAGAAATTCAAAACAAGTGGTGCTTCAGCGAAGTGACTCTATTCGACAAATTTATTATCACGCTTTATTATATATCATCCAGTGAGGGTAGTGAATCTTAGATGTGAACGCATTAAGTAATAATAGTAGTAGTATGAAATGCAATTAAAATGTTTGTGATCATAGTTAATCATAGTTCAGTGTGAAGTGGCAAAACAATTTATGTCATATTTGGAATAATTCATAGGATGTATAGAACTTGGAAGAGAAACGTTACGTGTTATTGTGTGAAATTTGATAACGTAGAATTTAACATAACAAAACAGAATTGATTTAAAATGACAAGTGGAACGAGTGAAATAATACCGGGGACACTACGTAGTGAGAATAGTAATAGTAGCAATTGACGTTATGAAGGAAGAGTATACAAGTGAATATAGAAAATGAAAAGTAGGTAGAGTCAAAATATGATTAGGGATTACCACACTTTGGCACAGGGGGATTAAGACCATGAAAGTTGGAAGAGTTGAACGAACCTCTTTTTCTGTACACAGAGATCTGGCTTCTCTGTTTCCATAGCCAAAGATGGCTTCAGCAATACAGATGAGTCGGGTACATAGTGATTTCGGTAAATTACTTTTTGTCTTGTAGATGACTTTAAAGGCGGAGGCTATAGAGATAGGGTGATCATTATCGACCAGCTTTTCAAAATCACGCTTCTTATAGCGCCACTTCCACCTCTTCGTAACCATACAGAATAGTGTTCTTGCAGCCTCTTGGACAAAACTCGAGTTAAACAATGGATATACGTGGCTCCACATGAGCAGGTGAACTGGTAAACGCAAGTATAGATGATCAACTGCGTGATCTTGTCCTTCAGGTTATTGAATAGTAATGGTCAACTGGTAAACGCTATTCTCAGAGATGCAGCAAGGAAAGTTCTTTTCAGGGACTTTGAAATCCTTCTTTTAATGATATTGGAAGCTAAGTAAGCGAAAAGACAGATCTTTGTGTACAGAAAAAGTCCATTCAACCCCTCCAACTTCAATGATCTTAATTCCTCTACTATCCTAAAGTGTGTTAATCCCTAATCATATTTTCGCTCTACAAATTTTGTTTTCGTTCTGTCTACTAAATTTGTATACTCTTCCTTTAGTACGTCAATTGTTACTATTAATATTCTCACTTTGAGTTGTTCCCGGTATTATTTCACTTGTTCCACTTGTCATTCTAAATCAACTCTGTTTTGCTACGTTAAATTCTTTGTTATCAAATAGCACACAATGTTGCGTAACGCATTTATTTTATTCGATTTGCCTGCCAATCCTATAATTGTATATCCCTTCTAATTTCTATACATCCTATGAATTATCCTATATATGACATTAACTGTTTTGCCACTTGACATTGAACTATGATTATAATTACAAATATTTTAATTGCATTTCACATTACTATTATTATTTTATGCATTCACACCTATGATTCACTTCCCTCACTGGATATAATTTCCCAAAGTAAAAACTATATATATATATAGGGTTGTACAGCTCGATAATAAATTCTTCGGAAAGAGTCTCTTCGCTGAACCTGCTGATTCTAAAGTTTCCAGTAAATGTGAGAAAAAGCAATGCCGCTAGTGGCAACGTATCCTAATACATGAGATAACTGTACCGGTGAATTTTAGTACAAACTATCATTACTCTTATGTCCTTGGGTTAAAACATGCATTCCTGCACACCTTTTTAATCGGCTTTCAGCCAAATACCGAGGGAGGCAAATAGGAAATAGCATAAGGGGGATTGGTTTACGTTTCAGAGCGAACAGCAGTGTGTCATACGATTTACTGTCGGTTACTACTTTACTTGAAGATTGTGGACGAAGAGAAGATATTATGCAATAACTTTTGCTGAGAGTACTGTGCATTATATGAACACTGTTCAGAATAAACAGATCACTATTATTATGACTATTAGCACCATTATGTTACTAGCAAAATGGAAGCATCCTTTAAGACCAAAACTATGTCACATCAACTGATCCAATTTATTAATACTATCTCCTTTTATTTCCTAGAGGAATATAGGACATCAGGAGCACATCTCCATTGCGTTATGTTCTCTGCCAACGTTTTCACCTGGCTCCATGTCTTCCCACATGCTTTCACCTCCTCTTTGCATCACCCCCTCCTCCATGTTATCCTCGCACTGATGTCATAAACTGGTTGTTTTTGCTTCCTTAACTCAACCTAAACAGGATTTATTCACAGATCCTAATCTTATTCGTGTGATCAGATGATTATATTTAGCTCTGTTTATATCATATAGATAAAACACCGTTTCTTCATGTATTTACTATAAAACATCATCATTACTAGCCTTTCAAGACAATATCGATTGGTTAAAAAGGGGAAACACTATTGGATGGGTACCAGTTCCAGGAACGATAAGCAACAAGGTACTTTGGAAGGCAACGAACCGATCATGAACCTTTTGCCCAATAAGTGTTTAGAAAATGGAGGTGGAATGGACATAGGCGGAGAAAGCCGTTGAATTGACATCAGTTGTATAAGAATTCAGAGCACGGAGAGAAATGGCGATGTACCACTGAGGCGCTATTTTCCATTTGGCACCAAGTTCCACTTATTCCCCAAATGAATGATAATTTTAGTAACGACCGATCTAACTAATCTTACCTCATGTCTATTAATTTTCATAATGACAGTACTGAGGAAATTAATCTAACAGAATTAGACTTCACTCGTGAAACATTGAATACGAAGTTAACCCTTAAATTCAGTCAAATCTCCATCAAAAAAATCGAATTTCAATTCACTCTGTTCACTAACGATCACTGGCTGCAAGGTGCAAGTTCTCGGTTGCCATCTAACGAATACCAGTAGTTCGAAACCAAGTCCAACTTTAAAATTAACCAATTTTTAGTTTGTAGGGATTCGATTTAATTGGTCATAGGATTTCATCATGAGCTGACATTGGTTAGAGAACCACTGTAAATCTAGCTGGAAATACTGGAGAGCTGTTTCTTCCAGTTTTGGTTCTAGTGAGAAGCCGTGGGGTACAGCAAGTCGGGTGTGAGGCTAAATACTCGCCAGCATTGCCATTAGCTAGTGGTCGCGATATATCGGGAATCGGTAGAATTCGGAATTTATGTGCCGATGGCTGAATGGTCCACAAGCTTGCCTTGTAACCTGAGGGTGTTGTATTTGGCCCCCAAGTGGGTGCATATTGATGAAGAAACAGCTTTCCAGTACTCCCAGGTTTTCAAATTAATCATTGGGTTCTTAAAACACGAATGAATTTTTGTCGATATAAGAATCGAAATTAGAGACACTATGGGTAGAGCATAATTCCATAAAAGAATGCTTATATTCCATCCTGAAATAGATCTGTACTTTGCAGATAATCTATGTGCGTAATGTCATTTAAACCCGATGATCTACAGGTAAAAACAATTTAATTGACAGAGAGGAGGCAGGCAGTGAAGACAGAACTTTAAGTTAACATAGAGAAGATAGAAGAGATAAAGCTGCCCAACCAACAACAAGAACGGGTACCATTCACTAACAATGCGAAACATTTGAAGGAAGTTAAGGCTTTCACTTCTCTAGGCAGTATCATTTCAACTATAGGCGGGGGCACCGCGAAAAAGCAAGACAGGTGACCATCAGTCTGCTACACTCAGGGTAAATAGGAAGATCCGCATACTGAACGGTAATATCAAGCCACGCCACCTTTATGGTTCAGAGACCTTGGTCCACGCTTAGCCAAAAGTAATTTCCTATAGTCTGCGAACCTTCATTAACCACTGTCTTCACTGCATACTAAAGATCAGATGGTCGACCAGCCAGAGAGGACTAGCAACTAGGAAATCCATCAGCCAATGAACCAACACCAAGAACCCACCGCCCAACGACAAATATGCAGAAAGAAATGGATTAGACATCCTCTAAGGAGACTGTTGATTGACTCTCGAGTAGAACCCGAATACGAAAAGACGAATTAAGCATTGGTCCGAAGGTAACATCGAGGAAATTATGTGAGGCGGAAACAAAAGCGTATAGCCTGCAGAGAAGGCGATAAAGTCGCAATGTACTGTTGAAGCCCTACTTTCTACACAGAACCCAAAGGAATAATAAATAATATTCTCAAATAGGTTCACTTATTTTTTTGAAATATTAGTATGATTACTACTTTTATCGAATTTCAGTAGTCAGTTAACTTATAAAATATATTTTCGTTTATTGATTTAAATGATATGCGCTTGTGTATGCACATGATGTTAATGAATGCGTATATCTTTATTTCCTCCTTTCATGTGTGCTTGTGTGTGCGTATATATGTGCGGTTGAACAGCCTTTAAATCGAAACTTTACCGATTCTAAACAACGGCCTTTACCTCCACCGTATTATGTGAATATCAATGATGATAATAATAATAATGAAAAACTGTTGAATCAAAGAAAATTCCCACACAAAATAACAAGAACACTAAATAATAGTAGTAATAAAACAGTCCAACAAATTAAAGAGACCGCTAAGTCAATTCATGAACAACTCGGTTTCGGGACAATAGCACAACAATCATCTTCATCAACAACTTCGTTGAATGATTTACACAAAGAAGACAAGATGAATAATAATAATAATAATAGTCGAATAAATATGATCAAGTGTAAAAAGGTGTTTAATTCAACAGAAATGAAAAATTCAAGTGATATAAATCAGGTAAGTATAAGAAAATTTTTTTATTTGCACTAATTACTATTGATTTGTTGAAATATATATATTTTCATTTGGCGCGGGATTCAAATTTTCGCGCGAATTTTGAACTTAACTCTAGATCTGGACAGGATCAAAAAAATCAAAGGGAAACTATATGATCTAGATATGATGGAGAAGATTTGTAGCTCAGGTGGATGATTTTGATGTGGTTGTGTTCTCTGAGCTGGATAGTTAATTTGCGAAGCTTTCATCACCCTACTAGGCGACATCTTCAGCGCATCCTTCAATTTGAAGTGAGCTTTTAGATTTCTCCACGAGTTTATTAATCATCTCTCCCGGTGACCTTGGACGTGATTGGTTGTTTTTGTGTGTTTTCACACCCTCTAGGCTACTTGTATTGCGACTGATTGTTTCTTTGACTAGAACATATGCCAAGCTTGGCATTCCAGTGAAACATCAATCAATAGACACATCAATATTGACAAAATTTATCAACCGATAAGAAAGAAACCTCACACACAATGGGTCAAAGTTCAAGTCAAAGAAACAATCAGTTCCAATACAAGTAGCCTAGAAGGTGTGAAAACACACAAAAACAACCAATCACGTCCAAGGTCACCGGGAGAGATGCTTAATAAACTCGTGGAGAAATCTAAAATCTCACTTCCACAAACTGAAGTATGCGCTGAAGATGTCACCTAGTAGGGTGATGAAAGCTTCGCAAATTAACTAACCAGCTCAGAGAACACAATCACATCAAAAACTATATGATCATCAATCGACGTTTCTGTGAGAATAGAGCGGAGATAAGATTCTCTATTCGATTTCAATCACTAACTTACCATACAGGCTTCTTGTATATACTGGCTGTATATGTTTTACTAGGTATGGTGTGAAATCGCTTGAAAAGTATGCTAACTGAATGAAGATAGTGAAGATTGAAAGGGAAAACAAGAAGATAAGGATCAACAAGTACTTCAGACGCTAAGGTTGTTAAGTTTAGCGTGCAATTCAACAGTTACGGATGAACAGTCTATAATATTCAATCATATTGAAATAATAGAGAAGATTTGTAGCTCAAATGGATGATTTGCAGTTAGTTGTGTTCTCTGAGCTGGTTGCTTTAATTGCACAACTTTCATATCCTTCTGGAAAACATCTTCAGCGCAAGTTTTAGCATAAAATGAACTGACTTAAATTCTTCATGAATGATAGGATTGCTTCTCTTGTTAACCACCTTCGTGAATGGAGTCGATTTACATCTGTATTGATCATTTTTATTGACTTTGACTTTGAACTTTCTCGTCACATCATAATTTACTTTTTCATGCAACCGGTTCCCTTTATTAGTTTGGAGAGAGAAAGAACAAACATGTTTGCAGGATAATACGAGCTCGTTTTATTTCGTGGATTCTCATCAACTGCAAACATCCTAAACAAAATCAAATTATAGGTTTCAAGAAAGTTGTGGAACATACTTTTTCATAAATACTTTGAGTTATAGATAGAAGGCATAAGGAACATAATTCCAGAATTTGATGTAGGTAGACAGATTATTCGGTGTCAAAAAACAACTAATTATATATAGTGGAATCGGATAAGAGGGGTAAGAGTTCAGATTTCTATTGGAAAACAACACAGATTGGTTAGAGGCATATTACAGGGTCAGGGTCAGAGAACAAAGTAAATTTACACATCTTGTGGTGGAGAGTTTAAGAGGGTGGGGGTGAATAGTGAAGTAACATTTATAACTTAAACACACAAACAATTAAGTAGATTTAGAAACTTGAAGGTCAAAATTGAATAGAATGTTACGTAACAAGACAAACACACAGGCATACTGACAGAAAGGCAAAACAAAAATAAAATAGAGTCAGGGTTACCAAGGTAGTGAAAGATTAATCACACTATCTTTCTGTATACAAAGGTCTGGTCGAAATCTCTTGATAGCAATGGCTTCTGCGAAGCGAAGTAGCCGTGGGTTTCTTTGTGTATTGATTATTTTGAAGGCTTGGCTGATTTCTACTGTGTGTCCCGTGTCAATTAGATGTCTGGCGATTGCACTTGATAACACTTTTCTTCCTTTTGTATGGAGACTCTTAGGAATGTGCTCAGAAAATCTAGTAGATGCTGTCCTCTCAGTCCTTCCTATGTACTTGCTACCGCAGGTGCACGTGAATTGGTAAATGCAGTTGGAGTTGACGTGAGTAGGGAACTCATCTACTTTTGACTGGGTTAACGAGCACACAGTGTTGTGAAGTAGGATCAGTTTGGCGGCTGGGAGTTTGTTTTGCCTTTCTGTCAGTATGCCTGTGTGTTTGTCTTGTTACGTAACATTCTATTCAATTTTGACCTTCAAGTTTCTAAATCTACTTAATTGTTTGTGTGTTTAAGTTATAAATGTTACTTCACTATTCACCCCCACCCTCTTAAACTCTCCACCACAAGATGTGTAAATTTACTTTGTTCTCTGACCCTGACCCTGTAATATGCCTCTAACCAATCTGTGTTGTTTTCCAATAGAAATCTGAACTCTTACCCCTCTTATCCGATTCCACTATATATAATTAGTTGTTTTTTGACACCGAATAATCTGTCTACCTACATCAAATTCTGGAATTATGTTCCTTATGCCTTCTATCTATAACTCAAAGTATTTATGAAAAAGTATGTTCCACAACTTTCTTGAAACCTATAATTTGATTTTGTTTAGGATGTATGCAGTTGATGAGAATCCACGAAATAAAACGAGCTCGTATTATCCTGCAAACATGTTTGTTCTTTCTCTCTTCAAATTTACTTTTTATTAGTTCGAAGATTTGGTCTATGTCAACATGTTTGTTAAACGCATATTCGCTTAAGTACCAGGCTTCTAGGAATTCTCTGGCAGTATTTTTGGTGTTTCCTGGCTCTTTTTAGAATTTCGACATTATCCCAATCATCAAATTGATGTCCATAATTATCTACATGCATTGATATGAAAGAATATATATATATCATGTCTTCTCAAAGCTAATTTGTGTTCCTGTATTCTGTTTCGAAGCCGACGACAACTTTGGCCGATATAATATCTGTTACAGTTCACACAATTTATTTTGTAAATGGTATTAATCTTATCTTATTTTTCTGTTGGATGGGTCTCTCGGTTTTAACAATACCGAATGAAGTGACTGGACTGGTTTGTGTGCTATATCAGTTTCAAACTCTATTAATATTCTAGCCATTATTTCAGAGACAAATAAATTGTATGAACTGTAACAGGCATTACATCGGTCAAAGTGAGCGTCCACTTCGAATCAGAATCCAGGAACACAAATTAGATGTGAAAAGACATGATATATATTCCTCTTTCATATCATTGCATGCAGATAATTATGGACATCAATTTGATGATTGGGATAATGTCGAAATTTTAAACGAGCGAGGAAACACCAAAAATACTACCAGAGAATTCCTAGAAGCCTGGTACTCAAGCGAATATGCGTTTAACAAACATGTTGACATAGACCAAATCTACCAACTAATAAAAAGTAAATCATCGAGTGACGAGAAATTTGAAAATCCAGGCCAAAAGTATCATACTCATATTGTGATATGGAGTCTTGTCCATTACTGTCTGTAGTTGTCTGTAGAAGTCTTTCCTCTTCTCCATCGGGTCTGTGTTGTTTGTCGAAGGGTGGCACTGGACACAGATGACGAGCAAGCATTAGTAACAACGAAATCTATCAGTAAACAAACGCGGAACCTTTTACCCAGCGAACATGCAGAAGAAAATGAAGAGAGACACATTAGACACGTACTGAAGAGACTGCTGTAGAGTTGCATCACGCACCAGTCATGCGTGCGTGAAATGAAGAGCTGGACATTGCTTCGATGTTGACGTAGAAGAAGATGTGTGACAAGAAGATGAAAGCTCATAGGAAATCTTGGATCTAGGTAAAAAATAATGAAGAAGATACAGTGAAATGGAGATGTGCTGCTGAAGGTGTATGTTCCGCTTTGAACCTAAGGGAGTAATAATAATAATAATAATTTCAAGTAATTCAATATACTACTAAATCGATCTGTTACTCTAGAATACTATCTAATAAAAACAAATTTTCTAACAATAATTAAACTTCCTAATTCTCATAAGGTCTCTTTTAGAAACTTCCTAATTAAAAAATCTTAGGGAATAAGGTTTTGTATTATTAAACGCTAAAATAGCTCCTATTCTCAAGATAAGTCCACCTCTAAATGAGTGTTCACTTAAAATCGAGAGTATTTAGAAAAGTATTATTATTATTCCCATGGGTTCCGCGTGGAACACACGGCTTCAACAACACATCTCCAATTCCTCTATTCTCTGCCGTCCTCTTCAGCCGGCTTGCTCCACGATTGACCACAATCTCTCATCGCCTCCTCCAACTCACACGACCTCCCCCATGTCATCCTCACAATGACGACTCAATCGTCACCGCTTCCCATTGGGATTTCATTCGAACGATGGCCTGCACTGCGTGCGATGTTATTCGATGACCTCCTCAATGGCGTATGCCTGATCAGTCCATCTCCATTCTCTCTTGATATAAGTATAAAACTTCGGCACTGTGGTAGAGTATAACTCCATAATGGTTAAGATTTTATTTTGATAAATCACACAGTGTTGTACAGTTATATTAACTGATGACGTTTCGAGCACAAACTATTGCTCATAATCATATCAATTTACTCACACAACTGCTTTCCTTCATTTATATACATGTGTGGAATCGATTCGATATTGGAATAAAATTCAATATGAGATAATGTACATTCAGAAATAATAGTACGAGTGTTATTAATCCATTGCAATTAGATGGGAAATAGAACGAGTGTTTTTACAGTCATAATAAGTTAATTGTTAGAATGTTATGATGTGCTTGAATTGAAATAGAATTTTAAGATTATTTATCATCCTCTTCTGATTTGACCGGCGGTAATATACCAGTCAATATGGCCTTAGAAGCGGTTAAAAGAGAACT